TACAAGCACTTTATATCAGCTAGTGATTAATTTAAGTTAATTGGCTGTTTAAATGATAGAGCGGTGGCCGTAGCCTAGAGACCATCGGTGTTTTATTGTGCGGGTTCAGTACTTGGGTGCCCTGGCAACTATTTGTAGCCATCCAGAATATGTATTTCATGGTGATGTAAGGCTCTGCTCCGCAGGAAGTCATTTTAACTGCCTTTTATTACCTGGCTGATGGAGCCAGCAGATGCCTTAGGACCATTTTACACAAGATAACAACTTAGAAGGCATCTCCCGGCGTGAGGAACTGCGCTGATGATGGTTTGTTACCATGGTAACCCTGGATCTGGGATGTGTGAAACTCTTGGAGACCTGGTGTGTCCTATCACAATTTTCTTCAAAATTTTTTGCCTAATATAAAACTGATGCATTTGACGGAAACTTTAGCTATACATTTTTTTTAAATATACAGGTGTCCCTCGGTTTACGAACGCCTTGGTTAAAGTAATTTTCGGTTTACGAATGAAAAACCATTGGCAATAATGCCTCGGTTTACACATTTTTTTCGCAATACGAACGGATTAATTGGTTTTCAATGCATTTACAATTTTTTTTTAATCATTTCCCTGTACAGTACTGTGCCTTTAAAGTGCACTTTATAAAGAGTTTTGAACAAATAAGACTTTTTTTTACTTTTTTTATGACCTCCGAAACGGATTAATTGGTATTCAATGCATTTACAATTTTTTTTTAATCAAGTCCCTTTATGCCTTTAACCACTTGCCGACCGGCCGTTGTATATAAACGGCCGGACGGTGGCACTGCAGGGTCGGGTGGCCGTCAATAAACGGCCTCCCCGCACCCTGCTTGTGCGCGCTCCCTGGGAGCGCGCAGCACCGCACCGCGATCCGGTGCCCGCTGTGTCCTCCGGACACAGTGAAACACCGATCGTCGGACGGGACCTCTGTACGAGGTCCCGATCATGTGATCACTGATTGGCCAATCAGTGATCACATGCAAAGTAGTAGTAAGCAAGATGTCACTTGTGACATCATTGCTTACTATGTGTGAAATCTGTGAATGATCACAGAGGTCACATGGTACAAGGCTATTCACAAAGCCTTGTACCATGTGACAGAATGTGACCAATCACAGCTCACTCAGTTCTTCTCAATGAGTGCATGAATGCACACAGAGAGAAAGAGAAATGATTGCTTTTACATCCTATATGGGTGTAAAAGCAATCAGTGTAAAAAAAAAAAAAAAAAAATCTTCATCACCCCTCACAAGTAGTACAGTGTCACCATGGTGACACTGTACTGCTAGGGTGACAGTATGTAAAAAAATAAAAATAAAAATAAAAAATAATAATATAAAAAAAATAAAATAAAAATGTAAAAAAAAATGTTTAAAAAATTATAATTTTTGCTTATAAACTAATTTGGATTTTTTTTTTTTTACTAAAAAGATAACGGAATAAATTTGGCTAAGATTTATGATGAAATATTATTTATTTTGCAAAATTTTATAAAAAAAACACTTTTTTTCAAAATTTTTGGACATTTTCATTTACATAGCAAAAAAAATACAAATCCCAGCGGTGAATAAAACCACCCAAAATAAAGCTTTATCTATCTCAAAAAAAATGGTAAAAAATTAATTTGGGTACAGTGTTGCATGACAGCGCAATTGTCATTCAAAGTGTGATAGCGCTAAAAGCTGAAAATTGCTCTGGTCAGGAAGGGGGTAAAAGTGTCCGGTCTGGAAGTGGTTAAAGTGCACTTTATAAAGAGTTTTGAACAGATAAGATACTTTTTTTTTTACTTCCTTCTGACCACCGGAATGGCTTAATTGGTTTTCAATGCATTCCTATGGGAAACCGCGTTTCAGTTTACAAATTTTTTGCAATACGAAAAGTCCCGCAGAAGGAATTAAATTTGTAAACTGAGGTACGCCTGTATAGGCTTTTATTGCTGTCACTGACCTGGAGCAAGTCTGCAGATGATGAAAGTTGGAAAACTCAGAAGTCTTTATCTGCATCCACAAATGTTTCTAATGTGCATATCTTTTTTTTTATTGGCAGTTTACAAGACAGCTGACAAATATTTAATACGTTTCTCATGATTGCTGCTGTGGAAACCAAAAAATTGTTTTGCAATTAGTAAAAAAAATTTGATGCCAGGATGAAAGTATCTTACCCCTTCCCTTCTCATCATTTTAGCCTTTACAGAACTCTAAGTCAGCTACACCATTGACAGCTGCGTTTTCTCAGTCTCTATGGACCTTGCCCCTAAATGAGTGGAAATTAACCCAAAAATGAGAGCCACAAGTTAGTGTAGAACAGTGTTATGAGCAAAATAATTTCTCTGATCCAGCTGGCTTCCCCTCTACTGGTTTGGCTAGCATCTAGTTATCTTAGTCCTTCAAGATGGCAAGTTTCAAATGAAGGAATGGAGGAGATCAATAAACTTCTATTTACAAATTTGCTTTGCTTCGATTAAAAGCAGAAGTGCACTTCCAAGTTCATTATCAGCATCACAGCAATAGGAGCCAAGTGAGGAGCGTTCAGGGACTTTCTGTCCCCAATCTTCGCATGTAGCACTATAGACAGGAGATCTATTAAGACCACTGATGTGTGAACAAAATGGACCAATTACTGCAGAAGTTGGATGGGAGTGGGTCACCTGCATAGCTGCACAAGAGGATGAAATCCAAATCTGTGGAAAAGACAAGAAGATCTCAGGTTCTGTTCACGTGAACTTATGATGGAGACTACAAGAGGCAATTTTATCACAAGGCACAGTGCACTGTTATCACCACCAAGAAGCCTGAACTGAAAAAAACTGCAAAGATGTACGGAGACGCATCAAAGGATGAAGAGGGTCAAAACAAAAACACTGTATGGCCAGAAATTACACTCAAATCAGCTTGTTGGCCATCCCGTGAGGAATCCATAGGCATTATTATGAAGTTATCTCCCCCTTTTACAGATATAACATCCTCCACTCTTCTGGGAAGGGTTACCACAAGATTTTGGGATGTGTCTTTAAGGATTTGTGCCCACTCAGTCAAAGAGCATTTGTGAAGTCAGGTACTGATGTTGGGGGAGAAAACCTGGCTCGCAATTGGCATTACAGTTCATCCCAGTGGTGTTGGGGCCACTCACGTTTCTCTCCACCAGACTCATTAAACCATGGTTTTATGGAGATGGCTTTGAGCACAGGGACACAGTCATGCTGGAACAGGTGTTCCTTCTGCTCCTGGGTCAGCAGCCATGGGGCCCCTGTGTCCTCACCCACACTCAAACCACACCCAAAAAAGCATATGAAAGGTACCAGGGGCATCTCATGGGCCCACTACTGACCTCGGGCCCTCGGGCAGTGCCCGAGTTCCCAAATGGTCAGTCCGCCCCGTCCTGTACTGTTCCATATGACACACCGACAAAGGTAGCAATGTTGTGGATTGTTCTCAGACGATAATCATGCACAAGTTTCCAAATGTTTTTATACATTTCTGGGGGTTGAGCTTGTTGAAGGTTTTTCCTGATCTCTAGTCGTCTTCCAGTGAAGTTCTTCCACTCTTGAAGCGTGTGTGCAACTCGAAACACCTCTCTGTGGCAGATTTGCCCAGTTTCACACAGTATTTCACATTTTCTCTTTGTTTTAACTGGCCGTCCATGATGAAATAGCAGATGTGGTAATGCATGTGGTCAGAATAGCACAAATTGCACAGCTCCCGATGTATACAGGACAATGTCTTTCAGTGCACTGACTTGCCATTTGTTGGCGTGTTACAAAACTAGTCTCGAAACTTTTTAATACCAGCTCGTAAATGTCATTCAGCTAGGTACTACCATTACTTTGATTAATGTTTTGCTCCAATAGTCAACTACATGCAACCCCAATATATATAATTTAAAATGATCAACACTTCTGTTGACTGTTTGTTCCAGGGTATACATGAGAATAACTTCCCACTGATAATTGCGGATATATCTGAACTATGGAAATTGGCTATATCTAGGCAGATTTTTCTGTGACGACACCTGCGGCTAGAAGTAATATCAAACTCTTCAGAATTTAACAGACACTTTGATTTGACACAAAGCTCAGCTGTGCTGATATTTAGTCTGTCTATGGGGAACCAGAAGCTAATCAGAGTCCCTGCTGAGGATTCTGGGTAATGGAATGTATCTCACTCTGGGGAACAGCGCAGAGTCATTACCGCTGGTGATTGCCATGGAAATGCGTTGGGACTGAATAATGGCACTTTACACATCATTCTTATTATAGTTCAAACATTACAGCTAAACCCTGTATTACAATACTTTCAATGCCTTCTATGTATATTTCCTTTAAACAACAGGATATTTTTATCAAGGATTCCCTGTGAAATTTTGCCAAGTGAAAAACAGGTAAATTTGCCCAAGGAAGATTTGACAAGATTCACCAAGCAATTTCTGATAGGATTTGTCCTATGTATTATACAATATAACATTTACTATAAGAATCTTGTTCATTCAAATATTGTTAGTTTGAAACTTGGCAAGATGAATCTTATCAGCACAGATGCGGCCATTTTCACCTTTGGATGAATCTTTGGAGGTATATGTTTTGGGCAAATTTTGTTAAATAACAGAAATGTCCTTTCCTTAATTTGCCAGCCTGCATCCAATGTGATGAAACTGTTTTCATACATCAGCATGAGAAAAATGTATTTAATTTTATTAATGAAAAATGGTAAATTAGATTTCAGAACTAACCTATATTAAGTAAGTGAGAAATGGTATGAATATAGTATGAAAGCACTTTCCCGTTGAAGAACAGATGTTGGGAAAATTTTGTTTGATGACATTTTTGATGGGTAGAGTGCATTTGAAAATGGGTGAAAACCACTGTGTTAAATAGAGAAAATGTCAAAAATTGAATCTTGGTTAGAGGTAGGTACTATTGATAGAAAAGGGCAAGTTTATGTGTACTTTACAGCTGAAATTCTGGGAATTCAAAAATCATATCTTAGCCTGCGAGTTTCTTGTAGACACCAGAACATGTTTTAACTTTGTGTTCAACATCGTCCTGTTGTACCTTGTCTAAATGGACTTTAATAAGCTGACTGCCATCAAACTTCACATGGATTCTCTTGCCCACAATTTCACTTGGATACACCAAATCTTCAAGGATGGCATTGTGTACTGTAGTCAGAGTATGGCTACTAGGATGCTTCTGCTTGTTTTTTGTGCAGCTTTTTCTTGTTGGTTTGGGCAGAATCCTTCTCTGAACAATGAAGACAATGTGGTTGCCGCTGAACTTCTTTTCATGCTCAAAACACCAACCTAACTTGGATCTTCTGGAAAGATTTCAGCTGAGGGACCGAAACGAAGATGATTATTGCTTTTCTACCACCCCTGACTTCAGTTTCTTTTTCTGCTGTATTATTGTATTCCCTTAGCTGAGATTTACGGTCAGAGTTCATCTCCAACTCCAACAGGGCCTGAGAACTGCAGGACTCATCTGGCTTTTCACATACAGGCTTGATGATTTTCACGCTTGAAATGAACATCACCTTTCGATTTCAACCATTCAACAGGACAAGGCAATTTCTGGAAAAATGTTTAGCCAATGCAATCAATTTTCTATTGACAAAAAAATAAATTTTCTCTGTATAATGCCAAGTGTAGTATAGGAGTTTACATCATCAGTGGCTGCCAATGGCCTTAGAAGGGTGATATGGAACATCCAGAAGAAGCAGGATGGAAGTTGGTGGAAGTCAGAAGGGTACCTGGAGCCTGGATCTGTCATTGCTGGAACAGGGAACACTAGGAGTTAGTGTGCCATAATGTGCAAATATGCTGCGTACACTTGCATATCTTAGCAAGAGCCCACCCAGTGGATTTTAGTAAAGCTTTAGTATCTGACAGGTGCTCTTTGCCAGTGCCACTGCATTTTTATCTGAAATTCTCATGCCTATGAATGGCTGTGGAGGGCATGTTTTTAAATACAATGCTTGTTTCCTATTCTTTATTCACCCTTTGTTAGATCTCAATGTGGCATTTGCCCTACAGCCTCTTTGGAGCCATTTCATGTCTACATGCACTCCAGCATTGGCTGCATAGCATTTTCCAGGGTGGGTTTCCTAATATTGACAACAGCAGACCATGCCTATGTAATTTGTAATAGTATTCTTCTTCAGAAGTCCAGGTGACAGAGCTTTACAGTTCACAGCACTCCTATCAGCTCTGGAAGGCCTGGCTAACTCTATGATTGCCATAGTTTAAACTGAGTTATTGCTTCTTTGAATTTGCCACAGAGACTGTTTGGCTTTATTTAATTTTTAAGAGATCTGCAATACACCTGTCAGTAGTTCACTCTTTATTGCTCTATGTACTTGCACCACAATTAGATGTGAGAACCTCAGCAGGCTTCCTGCAATTTGCCATGGGAAGCAGCCCCATTGAAAGTAATGGGAAGTTGCCAGCTCTCGCAGCTAATTGCAACCACTCACATGTTTCCCTGAAGAAGTCATAAGGTTAGTGACGAAACGCATAGGGTGGAGATTGGGTGATGTCATTTCACAAACTCAAGAGAGATCGGGCACAGGAGTCGAAGCAATGCAGATCATCGTTATCCCATAGGGGATGTACACACAAGTTGATCTCTGCTGTGCACTGGACTAGGGCACTTGTACATGTGAGTGTAATGTTAATAGTTTAAATAAAAAAAATATATGTTTTTTATGGAAAGCACTGTGATGGTACTGTGTTTTATCCCTAGTTCTGCTAGGCAGAGGTGCTAACCACCTTGCTTCTGTGCTGCCCAATAAAGGTAGGTTGTCCACTACTACATCCAGGTGAGCCCTTGCTTTACAGCTGGTAATTACCAAGAATGAGAGGAGTAATGGCCATCTTTCTATGGATGGTGTGAATTGGAGGTTTAAGAAGATGAGATAGTGAGACTCTTTTGCTGAGTAATCAGGAGCATATTTTGGCTCAATACCAGCATTACATGTTGGAGCCTTGGACAAAATGCCTTAATTAGGTGGGATCTTGCACTGCCCAACAACCCCATCCCATTTATTGGGTGTGTTATATAGGGGGACTTTAGCCCATGTATAGGAGTGATTTAAATTTACATGAGGTGTGACCCATATGCATAAGCACTGTATATAGTATCTTTCATTATATACACCTGGGTTATTTATCCCATTTACCAGAACCATCATTGAGACATATACTGTATGTACAGCCACCTGATAAAAAGCGTCCCATCAAATTTTATGGATTTACAATATAAGGAATACATTTCTATCTGTGATAATGCCCTCCAATTACTTGAGCCATAGTAGCTAATGTAAGTGAATTCGGTTTGCACAGCTTGTTGCTAAGGCAGCTGCATTAATACATTGCCTTGGGATATCTATGAATTTGAACTAATACATATGCAAAAGGAATATATTTATGAAGATCTTGCTTACATGTGGCAAAGTGATTTACAAAGAATTAAGGGCCATGCATCCATGCGCTGCCGGGAAGATGATTGTAAATGGTTTTAAATGCTGTGTCTCATCAACTTGCTTAGTTTTTTATAAAATGAAATAAAAAAGAGATATTTGTATGAATTCATAGTTGCCATTCTCATGTTACCGGGAAGACCTGAACAGAGATATCTCCAGTTGGGGGCTTTGTCTTTCAAATATATAAATCAAAATACATACATATATACATACAGAACATGTTTAAACAATTCTAAAAGCATATCCATACAGTAAATAAACACACACACACATATATATATTTTATATATACATTCACACAGACATGTGCAAATGCGCACATTCAAATACTTAAATCAGAAGGCTGAGGAAATGGTGAAAATAATGGAGCTTGAACTGTGACATTAAGCCCTGGTTCACACCAATGCGGCTTTGAAGTTGTGCTTCAAAGCCAACTATTCAGTGCAACTTTATTGCGGCTTGCTAACACTCTGTGCTACTTCATTTAACAGATGTCAATGCAAGTTGCAATGAAGTCGCACTCAAATATTGCATGAACCTTTTGCAAAGTTGCTGTGACTTATGTCGCACCGATTTGAATGGTTTCATTGCTGGAAATGGGGTGTGACTTGTCATGTGACTTTGAACTCTCAAGCCACATGACTAGTCGCATTGATGTGAACCTGGGCTAAGGATTGATAAATACACAATTGTATAGAAAAAAAAATTATTAACATTTTATTGATGCTTACATAACAAAAAAAAATTAATACTGAACAGCAAATATTACATGCAAGACACTGAAATAGCTTATAATACGCACAAACAAGCCAGCTTATATTGTAATCATAGTATTAGAAATAAGGGTTACAAACGGAAATACTGCTGTCATATTGGTCCAATATGACAAACACGTGACTTAGAATTCGATTCTCAAGAATGCTTACATAGTCTAGTTATCAGAAACAGCTCATTGATTAGAAGGATCCATCTAGGAGTGTCATAGAAGTAACAGAAGATCGCACTCTCTTAAAAAGTGAGCAATGAACCCAACACCAATAATCAGACCAAGCCAGGTGGGCATGAGAACCTGCCATGGTTACTCTATACTGTTAGACAGGTTAATTTGGTTGTTGGCAAGCTGGCTGGCAAGTTGTCCAGGAACATTGTTCTCTCCCCTTCATTCGTTATGCGATGCCTGTTTATGTGTCCTTGCTATATAAGCCAGTTATAGACTTGGGCGGTGGCCATTTTTATTTGCATGTTGGAGTTTAGGTACGTGGGTGCACTAGGACACCCTGGCTGCCACTGTGCTATATGCTAGGGGTCCTGTGCACTCCTTTGCCTTTAAGAAGGGTGGGCTCCCTCAGGTCCACCTGCCCCTGATCTATCCATTAAATACAGTTGTGTTCAAAATAATAGCTGTGTGTTGAAAAAAGTGAATAAAGCTCAAAATCCTTCTAATAGCTTTTATTTCCATACACACAAATGCATTGGGAACACGACACATTCTATTCCAAATCAAAACATGAAGAAAAGTATATCAAATTTGTGTTGTTCCTCTAAAAAAATTGAAGAAAAGTGAATATTAAACGGTTCAAAAAAAATCGCAGTGTTTGTATTCTTCTTTACAAACTCAAACATTCACTATATAAACTGAAAAATGTTTGAAGATTTTGCTTTCCTTTGAATCACTTAATGAATAATTAGTTGTATAAGCACTGTTTCTGAGAACTGCTGTACATCTGTGTTGCATGGAGTCACCCAACTTCTGCCACCTGTGAACAGGTATTCCAGCCCAGGATGATTGGACTACATTCCACAGTTCTTCTCTATTTCTTGGTTTTGCCTCAGAAACTACATTTTTGATGTCACCCCACAAGTTTTCTATTGGATTAAGATCCGGGGATTGGGCTGGCCACTCCATAACGTCAATCTTGTTGGTCTGGAACCAAGATGTTGCACGTTTACTGGTGTGTTTGGGGTCGTTGTCTTGTTGGAACACCCCCATTTCAAGGGCATTTCCTCTTCAGCATAAAGCAGCATGACCTCTTCAAGTATTCTGATGTATTCAAATCCATGATCCCTGGTATGCGATAAATAGGCCCAATACCGTAGTATGAGAAACATCCCCCATATCATGATGCTTGCACCATCATGCTTCACTGTCTGCACAGTGTACTGTGGCTTGAATTCAGTGTTTGGGGGTCGTCTGACAAACTGTCTCCGGCCACTAGACCCAAAAAGAACAATTTTACTTTCATCAGTCCACAAAATGTTGCGCCATTTCTCTTTAGGCCAGTCAATGTGCTCTTTGGCAGATTGTAACCTCTTCAGCACACATCTTTTTTTTTCAACAGTGGGACTTTGCGGGGGCTTCTTGCAGATAGCTTGGCTTCACATAGGCGTCTTCTAATTGTAACAGTACTCACAGGGAACTTTACACCTTCCTTCATCTTCCTGGAGCTGATTGTTGGCTGAGTCCTTGCCATTTTGGCTATTCTATCCATTCGAATGGTAGTTTTTCGCCCCTTTCAATTAGTGATTCAATTACACAGAATCAGCAGCATGCATGTCATGACTGTTGGGTCTGTTGGATTTCTATTACTCTACTACACCTGCTAGTAAATTATTTGCCATGTAGAGATATAATTTCTACCAAAAACAGTGATTGATCAGGTTAGTGATGTCTGACTGCTATTATTTTGAACACAACTGTACATGTGCCTCTACTATGGGGGCTCTCAAATTGTAGAGTTAAGACCACAGATTATCAGGGTGCCATGACGTG